AAAAAAAAAAAAAAAAAAGATCAGTTGCTTCTGTAAGTATCACAAGCAGGTTCTATGTAAAATGGCAAATCTAGTTTCAAATGCCCTGCAAATAATGAGAAGTAGGTTGAATATTTTTTCTTAGGCCATCTACCTTTCCCCCAAAATGAAAGTATTAAAAGAAGTTAATTAGATAAAAAAAACAAATTGTGGCATCAAGATATTGCTCCACCATGTGTTACAGTTTCTAAACAGGGCCCTGGAGAAGTGAGTAAGACTAGAGAGAGAGAAGAAAATATTATTTTCATGTGCCGGAATAGTATTATCAAGCGATTTATGCGGCGATTTAATCCCCACAATAACATAGTCAGGTGGATATTTTTAATTTCCATTTGATTGACTCTCCAATTATCTTCTTTTCCCTAACAAATTCCTAAAGGGAAAACAATGTACTCAGGGGTAAAAAAACAAACAAAAAACCAGCTGTATTTCCAGTCCCAATGGAAGCTGCTGGAGGATAGGGTTAACTGGTATAGTTCTGCCACATGAGATGTTAGCAGGAATCTTTGGGTGTGGTTTTTATGAAAGCTTTTAAGCTGACTTGGCTGGTACGAGCCCCTTTACGCTCCCTGTTCACCCTTCTCTCCATCTGGACCTCTAACTTGGTAGTTTATGCAAGGTGGCTTGAAGCCACCTTGTAAGAATGCAAATCAAGGATAACCCCTACAAGGGAAAACAGAAAGTATTGGAAAGCCTGCAGCCCTAGATTGCATATGTCCAGATGTCTTTTCCATGAGTGAAAATAAATATGATTTCTAATTGACACAGTGAGCAATACCTCTAAGGGAAATTATCCAGGAAGCCAGGATAGTGAGAAAAAAAAAAAAAAAGGAAAGATGCACAACCTATGTCCAACTTGTGCCTGTCCATGACAGTTGACAGATCGGTGACTGTGGAAGCAGCATATTTTGAAAGGAGTTGACGAGATGCCACTATTGTAAGACAAACACAAAGGTATTGCTTTTGGCCTGGAAATCCCTCTGAGGCGCTGGTGGTGAAGTGACTTTGTTAAAAGGATTGACCAGGCCTGCTGCTCTTTTGCTTCTTTCTGCCCCCCCCAGCATAATTACATTCTGTGTTTTATTTGGGACTCTCACTAGGGTTAATGGTCTAAAATCCACAGAAACCAGGATAAAGCAGGTACTGTACAACTTGGGCAAAAAATAAAACTCCACTAATGTCATCTCAGACCCCCATCCCTCACTGAGACCAAATGGCATCAACTTAGAATATCTGAAAGGATTTTAGATACACACCAAGGAATCCAGATTTTTCTTTAAATATTTGTATTTCATTATTTCTGAGTTGGCCAGGACATGTGCTGAGTGGAGTCTCTGGGCCGTTTTTATTTAAATGAATAGGCACCAGATTCTACTCAGTTTAATATATTCTACCTGTTAGTCTCATCAATTGCAAGCCTTGATTCTTCTGTTCTGAATGTTCTGCAAGGCACATGCAAAGTCCTGTGTCTTTTAAGGTAAGCTTTGCCTGTGGATATCTAGACACCACACCTATTCACCCGCGGTACTCTATAAATCACAAAGCCCTGACTCAATTCCAAAATCAGCGTGGCCTCTCTCTGTCTCACTTTCATTTTTAAAGGAGCAGTATGACCCAGACTCCCGAGAAGAGAGCTTTTGGCTCCACATGCAAGATGCAAGTTGGCGTTAACACAGAACACACAGACAGATTATGCAGCAGGGAAGTACTTGGTAAATTCTTTGCAAATGTTCCCTTAGATAGGAGGTCTTTGAAAACAAAAACTAGTAACCGAGACTCAGTTCAGATAAATCTGTGGGTAGACAGCAAGTAAGGTCCCCTACAAGGGACATTTTTCTAAAAAGACATAATCATAATGCTGCCCAGAAACCCTCCTTGGTCTGCATTACTTTGGAGCTTTTCTTCAATAAGAAAAATCTTATCTACCAGTAAATTCCCAAGTGTTTCTTTCGCTGCCCTTGGTTTCCTAAAGCAACTGAACACGCTCCTCTTATGACTGTGCGGTTGGGTCATGAGATTTGGCTTGGAGTAAGCAGCCTCTTGCCTCATCCTGCCACCCTGCGCTTCTTTCCTTGGAAATGTCCATGCTTGTGGTTTAGGATTCTCTGTGTAGAGCTTTGAGACTTACATCGACACCTCTACATGTTTTGAAATTCAATAGATTCAGTTGCTGAGTACCTAGCAGGGGCAATAGAAAAGAACAAAAAATAAAAGGAATAAAACAAACAGCTTTTTGCTGTTGGGTCTCATTGATTTATTCTATTTTATAAACACCGTAACATAAAAGGATACCATGTCTAGGGTCTGCCTGCTGTCCCAAGAAAAAGCAGCTGGACTGAGATGGAGAGTCTTCTAAATAAGTAAGGCAATCTGTGCTGGGTAATCACTCATCTCAGGCCCGGAATGGAAACTCTGGGGACACTTAAGGCTGCAGAGAAGCAGGTTAATTATTTAAAGTATTTCAGCAAGCCCGATGGATGAAAACTCAAACAAATAGATTAAGTCTTGCTAAATTACATAGCCAAAGAATTTTTTTTCTCTATGCTATCATTTATCACAAAGGCCTATAAAAGGTCTTTAATCACTGTCTAAGTAACTTGAACTTGAAATAGAAAGGGCCCCTGGAGATTTAGTCACTGTGAAAACTTCTTTATAGCAAGTTATCAGAAATCTTCAAATTTCCACATAAAATACTTCAGTCACATGCAATACTCACTGTGGTTAAATGCCCTTTATTTGAATTAGAAGCACATGTTGAAGATCAATTATTTACTGTGCTGCTGGTTGATTCTTTCTGACACTAGTTGGCCTGGGGAAGAGAGGCTAGTCATAGGGGCTGGGTTAAGGACAGAGCTAGCCTCCTCCAGCTGCCAATTCCAGAACCAAAGATTTTTAGGACGTCAGGGGGCCATCAGCTCATTTAATCAGATCCCTTTTTATGTAGGAGGAATCCTCCAACTCTGGAGTTATGTGCCTAAAGAGTGATAGGGAGGGACAGAGAAGAAAACATAATTACCAATGACCAACGCAGGGCAATAAGCAGTCCTGATGCTGTGCAGGTTGAAATATTGCTGTTTTGTAATCACAAATGATCATTGCAAGACCCTTTGTTAAAGATAAAGCCAGTATTTTCTACAAGTACTACTGATTATTAAGTATTTAGAGAAGTGGCCGGGCACAGTGGCTCACACCTGTAAACCTAGCATTTTGGGAGGCCGAGGTGGGTGGATCACCTAAGGTCAGAAGTTCAAGACCAGCCTGGCCAACATGGTGAAACCCTGTCTCTACTAAAAAATACAAAAATTAGCCACACGTGGTGGCACATGCCTGCAATCCCAGCTACTGGGGAGGCTGAGGAAGGAGAATCCCTGGAACCCGGGAGGCAGAGTCTGCAGTGAGCTGATACTGTGCCACCGCACTTCAGCCTGGGTGACAGAGTAAGACTCCATCTCACACACATACACACAAAAAGTATTTAGAGAAGCTGGGAAAGCAGAAAAATAAAGAAGTGTGGGAGGCAGCCGGTAACAGCCAAGATAAAGGAAGATAAACTTCTCCAACATGTGCACAAACAACGACTGAATTAAAAAAAAACAAAAAGGTCACACCTTTTCAGGGAAATGCTAATGTACAGTGAGGCACACCTATGTACACTGATTTACTGCCACCAAGCCTTTTACCTTGGAAGCAGACACATTTAGTCCTTTGGCAGGGCCACCTTTAAAGAGTAAGCAAACACAAGGAGCAGCAGGGATTTTTGTTGTTGTTGTTTCCATTAAATGGACTTGCTCCCTTCATGAAACAAGGGCTCTAAAGAAAACAGCCCAACCTGAGAGAATCACAAAGACTCGGGATGGATACAGCTACTTATTAACTGTGACACCTTTAGCAACTGAGCTGGTGTCTCCGATTCTCAGTTTCCTTAGCAGTAGATTTCCTTGCTGTATTAAGCTAAAAATTTAAGGGTACAGAGTTGAGAATCAGCTGCCTAAGTTTGAACTCTAATTATACTACTTTCTTTTTTTTTTTTTTTAATTGATTGTTACTATTATTATTTGAGATGAAGCCTTGCTCTGTTGCCAATTGGAGTGCAGTGATGCAATCTCGGTTCACTGCAACCTCTGCCTCCCAGGTTCAAGCAATACTCCTGCCTCAGCTTCCTGAGTAGCCATGTTGGCCAGGGTGGTCTCAAACTCCTGACCTCAGATGATCCGCCTGTCTCGCCCTCCCAAAGTGCTGGGATTACAGGCATGAGCCACCACGCCCGGCCTAGTTCTACTACTTTCTTCCTGTGTGACTTTGCGCAATTTACTTAACCTCTCTGGGCCCAGGTTTTCTCAACTGAGAAATAAAGAAAATAACAGTACCCATCTTA